TTGGAAAATTCTCTCATCCTGCCTACCCCTAGCTCAAAGAGCAAAATGCTTTACAAAATTAAGTGAGCATTTGGGATTTTTAACTTGATTTTATCTTTTCATTCAACCAGAGGGGTATGTGTGTGGGAGATGCACTTGTCAACTAAAAGCAATTTCTCTGCCTCCTTGGGGACTGAAGCGTAATTGTTGCTCTGTCTTTCTGGTGTCAGGATGAAACTTGCATTTTCCTGAGTGGTGTCAGCACACTGACAGACAGCTCCTGGGATCTAGCAAGGAGTACCGAAAAAGAATGGGCAGGGGGCGAGAGATGTGGAGGCTGGTCTCAGCTCATCTCTTCTCCCCTGGGTGACTTTGGGATAGTCACTTACTTTGCCTCACTTTTCTAAATCTAAGAAAATGGGAATAATTCTCTCCCATATCTACCTCACAAAGATGGTGCCAGGACTTTGTCAGGTTTCAGTGATATGAAAATGTTTAGAATTAATAGAGCTATGGGAAAAAAGTGCTGCGGAAGGAGTGTACCCCTAGAAATGCTGTTAAGTAGCTAGAAAGGAACTTCAAGATTTCTCTGTATAACCCCATTTGAGAAATGAGGAAATTGAGGCCCTTCTGAGGTTCAAAGCGGTCCCCCGAAGCACCCGTGATTTAACTGACACGTTTACCATTTGCCCAGTTAAGTCTTTCACAAATAGAAAACCAGGGAGGCAGGGTCTTGAGGTCCTGGGGCTTGGAGTCCCTTTTAGAGAACAAATATGATCCCTGTGCGCTCTGTGTGGACCTTCTGATAGGGCTTCTCAAAAGGACATGCTGGGGGGCAGGGTGCTGATCTGCCAATTCCCTTCATGGGCCCAGAGATAAGTACTTTGTTATCTCATTCCTGAAAATGCAGAGACCTTCCTAACAATCTGTAGAGCAGGGGTGTCCAAGTTTTTGGCTTCCCTGGGCCACTTTGGGAGAAATGTTGGGCCATACATAAAATACACTAACACTAATGATAGCTGATAAGGTAAAACAAATGGCAAAAGAATCTTATAATGTTTTAAGAAAGTTTACACATTTGTGTTGGGCCGCATCCAAAGCTGTCCTGGGTTGCATGTGGCCTGTGGGTCATGGCTTGGACAAGCCTGCTGTAGAGGGAGGTGGGCGGCAGGACTGAGATTCCCACTTCATAGAGGAGGAGCCTGAGGCTCATGTTGGGAAGCAGACACACATTCACCTAGCCAGTCAGCCAGTAAGTCCAGCCTCACTCTTGGTATTTTAACTGCCCTTTCCACTGTGCTCTCTTGCCTGATGCAAGGAACCCAACAAGTAGAAAGTTCAAATGAAATAACCTGACTGGGAAGTGCTATGTAGACATATACACAAGGATTCTTAGAAAATCCAAATGAATTACTTGTATGGAGTATGCTCATTCTGAACACACCTAGGCCCTGTGAGGAGTCATGTTTCAAGGTTTGGTCAATTTTCCATGCTACGTATTTCCCCATGCACCCAAAAGAAGTAGAGTGGGGTTAAAGTGACCAGTTTCCCCATTTGGTTGCCCCAGTGTTTCTTGTGGCTAGGGTGCCGCGGTGTTCCCTGTAGCTACGGTGCAATGGGAGGGTTTGCAGGGAAAGACTTCTTTCTTCTACATTAGAGTTTCTCTAGCTTTAATGGGCATAAAACCCCCAGGAAGGGCCTGTTAAAAGTACTATTTTCTAGTCTCCATGCCCAGAAATTCTTGTTTAGTAGGACTGGAGTGGGAGCAGGGAATCTGCATTGTTATATGACATTCCAAGTGATTCTGATGCATCTGGTCCAATGGATTGTACTTTGGGAAACACTGATCCACGACAAGGTTTAAGGGCCTTTAATTCCTACAGTCCCATTTAAGTAGCAATTATATGCCCGGGTGTCAAGCACTTTTGGGCTTCAGGAAAAAAGTTAAGAAGGTCTGAAGCCTATCTTCTAAAAGTCAGCAAACCCCCAGATTCACTTCATCATTGTGGCTAAAGACCTCTGGGAAGACAATGACCCAAGCTAGGAGCAGGATGCTTGGCTTTTAATTGGAATTACAATAGAAGACGCTTAAGCAGCAGCAAACTGTCAAGCTGTAGGTCTTGGACTGTCAGAGTGAGGACAAAGATGTCCTATGTGTCCCTTGTGAGCACATACCGTGGGATGAGGGATTACAGGTCCAAGCTAGCAGGTTCCTGGCTGCTCAATGGGGGCACTAAGAACTCCTACGTCCTCAGAAAGGAGGAGTCATAACTTGTTACGTGCTCCTGCACAGGAAGGGAATTCTGCATTTTACTCACAGGCCAACTTTCTCAGCCTTTTCTGGGTCACCAAAGCCAGCCCAAGTGCCCTGTGCCACTGGCACAACCCCAACCTAAAGGCCCTCACCATTCCCCTGTCTAGCCGAGTCCTTTATTCAGCAGAGACAAAGTTGTAGATTTTTTTCTAAGTAGAATTTTCTAACTCCAGAAAATAATATATGTTTATTAAAGAAAAACTGGAGAATACTAAGATATGAAAATAATAAAACAGTTAAAAATTGCCCATAATTGCATTACCTAAATACAATCACGACTCAGATTCTGGTGTGTTTCCTTTTAGCCTTTTATTCTGTATATAGGTTTATTATTTATTTGTGCTGTTTATATTACAGTGTGCACACATTTTGCATCCTGCCTTTTTTTCATTTAAAAGTATCATACGTGTATTTTCAGATTATCATATAAGCTTCTAAATTATACACTTAAAAATAATTGCATAATAATTCATTGAGTGAATCAACATTATTTGCATAGCTCAATATCTGGCACCTAGAGGACATTTGATAAATATTTGTTGTATGAATTAATGGATTGATGGATGAATGCATTTCCTTATTATGTTTATTATGTCCTTCTACCCCAGGATATTTAGTTAAGGATAAAGATTTTCAAAGGGAATGTAACACTAAGTAATTAAGTGGCAGAGTAGGCAGGTCAAAGAAAAGGGAGAGGGCAAAATTGCTAACTTAGTTACTAAATCAATTTTTAAAGCATTTCTGACCTCTGTATTTTCTCTTCTCTTTTTTTCCCAAAAGAGTAGATGCTTTGGTCCACCTGGAGCTTTTTCCATAGCTATTAATATACCCATTTTACAGGTGAGGAAACTAAGCTTCAGCGAGATTAAATAACCCTCCCAAGATTACATGGCTAGAACATAGCAGAATTGAGCTTCCAATCTAGGTTCGTGAGTTTCTGTAGCTTTGTTCCTTTACCACATTACACCTCTTGAGGAAAAGGCAACAAAGAAGGACAGCTGTCATGGGTTTGTACCTCATGTAGAGCTGCCCTGGAAGCAGAGCAATTTCAGTTTCCAAGGACTCTTGGATTGGACCAGGCAGGCAGATTTTGTGCCATGAGGGAGCCCAAAAAAAGCTCATTCAGTTGGGAAAAAAAGGAACCCATTGAGGCCCTTTCAAAAGCTGGTGCTGGATAAGCTCATGGGAAGAGGTAAGGCTGAGATTTCAATATCCAGGGCCTGAAACTGGACATTTCTAGATGTCAGGCTTGTTTGGCTTGGATGACTAAGTATTTGTAAAGCAGAAATTGGTAAAAGAGTAGGTCTGGTGAGTGTTTGTTGTCTGTGATTGCTTTTAGAAAACAGAGAAAATTGGAAATGATTTAGAAATTGGTACAAAGGCAGAGAGGTACCATGTTTCCCAGAAAGGAAGGAAAATGAGTGGAAGACCTTTAAACTCTGAAGATAGCTCTGCTTTGCTAAGAATTGTATGGCAAAGTATGGGCAATTTTTCCATTTTATGCACCCCTTTTGCCGCGTTAATGCTAATATCAGTGGTTAGCAAAGCAAATATAATAACTGCTCTCCCCAACGGATCCCATGATTAAGGCTTCCACTCCTCTGGCCTGCAATCGAGATGTTGGAAGAAGATTTTCCATATTTCTTTCTACCTCCTCACTAGCATTTTGATCAACAGAGCCCCGTTCTCCCAGTGGAGAAAAACAAGGCACAGAGTCATGTCTGTACAGCTACCAATGGCGAATTGGGAGAGAAATTAATTTGGGCCCCTGGGCTTGAAGTAAAAAGGAAATTTCGGTTAGACGCCCTTCCTGCCCAATGTGGTCCATCTCTGGTGGCTGCTTCCACCCCAGGATTTGGGGGGCAGGGCTGTTTTTACCACCACCAGAGGCCCCAAACACTGAACCCATTGTGGCATGTGCTCCCATATGTATTTAAAATGTAAAAATACAAAGCCATAAAAGAAGTGTAAGAAAATCCAACACAGTACCACCCCCTGTTGAAATATCAAATATCAAATTCTTTCTAAAAATAAATGTTGGTCCCCCTCCCATATCAGTGCCCTGAGCAAAAGCATTGTCAGTGGAATCTGTAAGTCGGCAGCAAGTGGGGGGTACCCATATTTGTACATACTTGACACTGGGTTCTTTTATCTCAGTTGATGATCAACCCCCTCAATACAAATGTTCCCAGGCAGGAGAGCATCTCCCTCTTCCCTGCAGAATTCCCAGGACAAGGGAAGTAAGATTACTCTCAGATATGGGGCTTCTTGGGGGAGGCGGCAAAATCATTTTTCCTACTCACATTCTTGGTCCTCTAGAACAGAGCAGTGATTTAAATCAGACTTGGAGCTACTCGGGGCTGAGGTGATGCCTGCCCTAAGAGAGGGGTTAAGGGTGGGGGTGGGAGGGTCCCTAAGGGCTGAGACATCAACTCCCCTTTAGATTCAGGGATCCTGGGGGACACACTGCTTCCCGCTTAGACTAGGCCTCTTGAGGGCTGAGATGACGCTCCGCTAAATCGTGGAGTTTTCTAGAGCTTGGGATACAGTCTCGTCCTCAGATCTGAGGCTCCCTGGGACAGGTGCGCTACCTCGCCTTCAAATTCCAGCCTTTGGGGACAGGCCTGCTTTTATGTGCCCAATCAAGGGCTCCTGGGGAGGGGGTGGGGGACAGGGACCTTCCCTCCCTCTCAGATTTGGGGCTCACCAGGGCTGAGATAGCGTCTCCCCTCAGGCTCTGGGCTCCCTGGGGTAGGTGCAAGGTCCCGCCCTCAGAGTCAGAGCTTCCCCGGACAGGAGCTGTGTGTCTCGGCCTCCCTTCGCGTGGGGCAAGGGGCTGCGGGACCAGCGGCCTCTCTTCTGACGGGGGGGGGGGTTCCCCTGAGGCCCTGCCCCCTTCGTGACATGCTCGAGGTGTCCGGTGACCGAGACACTCTTAGCTGGGTGCAGGGTGCGGCTCAGGGCGTGGTCACCGGGGGCTACTTAGGGCGGCCAGTGCAGGGGACGACGCAAAGGTTAACTGCGAGCTGCCGGGCACTCAGCGCGGGTCATGGCGTGGATACTGGACTGCCTTTTCGCCTCGGCCTTTGAGCCCCGCCCCCGCCGTGGTGAGTTGGGCCCACCGAGTCGGGGGGCTGGGGTGCTCGGCCGGGGGCGGCCGGCGGCTGCAGCCCCGGCTGGGCGCCCTGGGGCTTGGCTGGTCGCCCCCTTGCCTCCCTTCCTGCTGGCTTTTAGCTAATTGTTCCTGGCTCAAGGGACTGCCCCGTCGAGGCCCCGCATAAATCACCAGCTTTGCCGGGAACCGCGAGCAATCGCGCTAATGGCTCGGCGGTACGCGGGACGAGCGCGTGGGCGGAGTCGTTGGCTCAGCCGCCCGCAGGGACAGCCAGAGCCTTGGGGCCAGACGCGCAGGAGCAGCGTCCCACAACTCAAGGACCCTAAAGGCCCAAGGATGAATGTCCCTGACAGGGCAAGCCAGGCCCCAGGGACCCTGAAGGAGGCGGGGGTTCATTTTGCCTTGAAGCTTGTCCCCTTGTCTCAATCTCAAACACAGAATATCAGCAATGGACCCCTTAAAGTCTTCGAATTTAACCCCTTCATTTAAGAGATGATGACACTGAAGATAGGAAAAGCCTGCCTAAGGTTACCCAACAGGTTGGCAGCATACATGGGTCAGGTTAGGATCTGCCAGCTGCCCACTGCCCCAGACTGCCCAGTAGTGGATCCCTAGGGTCTTTAGTCGGGGTCTTTCCTTGGGTACTTGAGATCAATGCTTGGTTTCCCTATTTCTGTGGAATTAAGGACACAGTGTGCAAAGATCACAGCACCGGCATATGTGGGTCACATTTCACCCCTTTTCTGGAACTGCTTCTACAAAGTACATTTTGACAACTGATTACATTTTCGTCCTTAAAGTTTCAGGAGACTGATACTTTCTTTTTGACATACCCCAGGACCCCCACCCATACTGTCCTTCACTCCCCCTTGATAAGCCCCACCTCCTTCAGGCTGCCACCTGCCCCCACAGCCACCTGTTTTTCCATAGTCTCCACCTCCAAAATCTATATTGGTGAGAGTGCGTCATTGGGCACCAGCCATAGACCAAACCTGGGGTTGTCTCCTCTTTCCTCTGCCCCCTGACAGGCGGGGGAGGGAAGTCAGGGAGAGGAGGGGCCTCAGCAACTTAATTCAGCAGAGACCTGTTTTTAGTTCTTGCCAGCCCCAACACCCTACTGAGAACCATCCTAGGAGTCTGACCTCCTGCTAAAAGACTACGGCATGCTTAGCCAGTTCAAGTACAGCCTCGGGCCAGCAACAAGATCTCTGAGAAGGAAAAAGATCTGCATACACACAGAGTTTAATTTTTTCTTTTGCATATTTTTAAGGTTTATATGATCCTGGTGAATCAAAAATATAAGGGAGTTTTATAAGATGTCTTTTGAGGCCTTACTGCTCTAACAGTCTACCCTGAAAAAGGGGGTGAGGGAAACATTTCACCCTTGCTTGGACTAGAAGGTCGTCATGTGACTCCAATGAGATCAAGGACATGAAGGCTTCTTTATGAATAACCACATAGAAGGGAGTCCATATTACACCAGGAAGCCCACTCCCATCTGAAAACAGCAATGTCTATTAGAATTAGGAGGCTTTTCCTTAAACTGAACCTAAAAAACCAAATCTATGTCCTGGGAGCTTCCACCTTCTGGCCCTGGCATTGACTTCCATGGTCCTCCTTCCTAGGAAACAGTACTAGCTCTCTCCATTGTCCCACCCCCAACTCACCCTGTTCTTACCTAGGCCAAACTTCCCCAGTTTCGTCATCTGTTTAACATGTGACATAGCTTCAAGGCCCTCACCCATGTCTACCTGCTTTTCTTTGAACATGCTCCAACTTATAAATGTCCAATGACTGGGCCAAAAGAGGTTTTCCAGCTGTGCCCCTATAAATATAGTCCTGGATGGCTGACTTTCCCTCTTTTGGAAGCCTACACCACACCCAAGGTACACACATACGTAGTCATAAACACACACATAACATACACATTACCACACCTATGCATGCCCACGTGCAAAGCCATGAACACACACACGCTTCACATGCACTACATACTTTCTACACACAGCTTAATATACTCACATTACCCGTGTATGCACCGCTCACAAATCCCATGCACAGCCACACAGTTCACACAAAGACTTTATTTACATTGAATTACTTTCAACGAAAGCTACTCTTTTTCCTTAAGTAAACCCAAGTTCTTTTCAGAGTCTCCGTTCTGTATTTGGCGGTTGAACTCAAGTGTAAGACCTTATATTTGCTGCTGCACTTCTAGTCTGGTGGGACCTATTCCCCAATATACCCCTGCAGCACACCACTGCCTACATCAGCTCTACTACTTATACAAGAGCAGCTGATATATGTGAAGCACTATATGCTGGGCCCTTAGGCTCAGTTCCTTACATGTATAATCTCACTTAAGTCACAGGGCATCACTTTGAAATAAATAATCTTTGGGTAGTTTTTTGACTGGGCAAGAGCTCACTTCATTGCACTCCCCCTGAGAAATGCTGTACAATGTGAAGTGTAACTTTGTGGGTAACTATTGATATTCTGCAGGGCTGTAATTGCCTTGGTGCCTCCCTTCGAATGTCTTTCAGAAGTCTTCAGGCACCAGAGATGGGGTTGGGGGAGGAAGCTGTCACCTGACTGGGCAGAATTGGGGCAGTATCTAAATGTTCCTTCATCCCCATTACCCTTGCCCAAGAGATAGTTGGTATGTCACAGTATTTTTTTTTTTTTTTGAGGGGCAGGTTTATTTTGTCTTCATTAGAATATCATCACTCTTTTGTTGACGTTTGCTATTTTTTTTTTGTTTGAACTCTTTTTTTAAAAAATAAATTTACTTTAAATTCTGGGATACATGTGCAGAATGTGCAGTTTTGTTACATAGGTATACATGTGCCATGGTGGTTTGCATCAGAACAATTTTTTGAGGGCGACAATGGGCAATGGGCAACCATAGGAAGGCACTTGGAAGAGGCATCATTGAGGTCTGGGAGGAAAGAGGGCCCAGAAAGGCCTTCTTTCCCAGGGAAAGAGACAGCACAATTGACCCACTTGAAATTCTCTCCCCAGTTCACTCTTGGCATTGGATTTGGCCTCAAACAATTGGACTTCTGTAAAGCAGCCAAAGCTCTAAAGCTGAAGGGACCCTGGGGCCCACTTTACATACAAATTTGATCTTTTCTTGGAGATGGGACCGAATCGATTTGCTGAGGCCAGGCCTAGTTGTGCTGCAGCAGGATCAGTTTCCAGAGATGGGGCGTGACTGCCAATGAGACACCCCATTCTCCAGGTCAGGTCCTCAGATAAGCACCCCCATTCACCAATGGCAGGACTTCCCCAATTTTCTTTATTACTTGTTTGTACCTCAAAAGACATTTCTCCCAGAGAAAAAAAAATGTGATGCTCTAGAGCTTAGCCCACACTTTACCCATCGTGAGGATGAAATACAGAATCTGTGTGATGAAAACCGGCAGAAAATAATACTGTTGCAAATGTATCTCAGACTCCAGCAGTAGAGCTGACATTTATCAAGCTTAAATATCAAATGACGGAAAGCATCGAGCACTGATAGAGCAAGACACCAGGTCCCTGAGGGTGATTATGGCAACAGTGAAAGTAAAATCATTCCTTTTTTTTCACATCTAGCTACTACGACAACCTAAATGTCCAACAATAGTGGAATGGTTAAATAAAATCTATGACATATCCACTTATTAGATTGCATAGAATCATAAAAATTATTTTTGTGAAGAATATGTAACAACATAGAAAATGGTACGATTATAACTGTCAAATATGCATTTTTGAAAGACTAGAAAGAAATCGGCAATAAGATAAAGTTAGAGAATCTATTAAGGTGGTGGGATAATAGCTACTTCTCTCTGTTTTCTAAAGTCTATGAAGTTTGTTCTTCAATTACTAATTTAAAAAGGCATAAAAAGGCAAATTTAGGACCTGTGATATGCAAATAATCTATACAGTGATCTAGAATCCCACTATACATAGTTTAAATATATTTTTTCTTCTAATTGTAGTTTAAATATAATGACTGGATCAGGCCAGCCAAACATGATCTTCCCAATGATCATGAAATTTCCACTAACTCTGGGTGGGAAGAGGAACAACTGGTTTGAATCCCAGGCCAGCTCTTTTAAGGTTGCTGTGAGAGAGTTACTTAACTTCTCTTAAAATGACATAATAATGTCTATATTTTGTGGTTGTAAATAATAATAATAGTTCTTATTACTGCTGTTGTAGATGTCATTATATTAAATGCTTTCTATGGTCAGTTATCAAAAGAAGTTTTATTTTTTCCAAATGTTTACTATTTGTAAATACCAGTCACTCTACATAAACTATCTCTAACCGTAACAACTGTCTGAGGTTAGTATTATTGTCTCTATTTTAAGGACAAAAGCTCAGAGAAGTTTAGTAACTTGCCCACTGTCACACAGTGGCTGAGCAAGGATTACAATCCTTTTTGATCTGACTTCAAAGCTTGAGTGAAATTAAAAGAGAGAAACATTTGCAAAGCTCCTATGCTGACATGTGGCAGACATTTACTAGGTGGTCAACATGATGTTGGTGATACTTTGCCCAGGGCCCAGATGCCGGTCTTTGACTTATTTGATTATCTATAAATTTATTTCTGTGAAAAGGAATTTCAACTGAAAGATGCAATACAAACACACCACCTGTGTCCTCATAGATGGGGCTCTGAGTCACTAGGAAACGATTTCTGT